TTTGTCCTCTCCTGTGTCTTTCATCTTATATGATGTCTAGCTATAGCAATGATTGAACCCATTGAAACTGTACTATTTGGTTTATATCATTAGAAGGTGCTCTGACCAGTTCCAACATTGGCCATTGTCAGGCATTCATTAAGGTTGTTTCCCTGATTTTGAATCTGTTCATTTGAACAAACATGCCATTGAAAAAGAAGGAATTTCAAATATGTATTTTGTTTACACTTCTTGCACTTATTAACCAGCTGTCATACCAACACAGAACACACCACAAAACACCTCACAAATGTGAAAATGCACATTTGTACCTGAACATCTGAATGCTGACTCATCTTTCAGAGAAATGTAAGCAAAACTATGTCACTTCTTTAGGGACTTTGGTATCATTGACAGGTTCTGAAAAACATGTTAACTTCTGTATCCTTCAAATAAAACGGTTATATGACTTCATGCTCTTGGGGAATTCTTCAGTGGATGAGCACAGTGCTCTTCATTATTGGGTAGTGAAAGAATGCTTTGCATGTCTCCATTTTGTCTCCCAGTTAAAGTGTGTCCTGTTGCCCATGTGTGATAGGCCTTGTGTTCATTTTATGGTCATCTGTTCCAGCTCAGATCAGAGAGTTAGAGCTCCTCTGTCTAACTTTCTCCATAGTCCAGCTCTGTGGCAATTCAGATTACATGGTTTAACTCATTCACACTGACACCTTTGTGATGCTGCGCCTTCGATCCACATTGACTTGGCAGAAAACAGATATTATGAAAAATGTTTTTCAATGACATCCAACATTTGTTTTCCTTGACTTACAAATAGCTTGTTCAGGGACAAGGAAGCACTTACCTAATGGTGATCTCCAGAAGTTAGGGGAGGGAAAAGACAGTCAAACTCAATCTTAATTAGTAGGGATCTCAGACACAGATATAAGGGGAATGTTCTTGCACTGGATGACGAACGAGCAGGGAGCTGCAATTAGTGTTTCTCTTTAACACTAGGGGCTGGCTGATAAAACATTTGTGAGAACAAAGAAGGAGGGAAAATTACAAAAACAAGGGCAAAGAACAACTTGATCAAAATAGGTAAGTGATGATAGGGGAAATAAAACTTTCCCTCAATAGTGCTACTAAATACAATTATTATAATTTCATTAAGCTTTAACCATGTTTTATTGTGTTTAAGCTGTTATGTCATGCTTATTATTTAATCTTTGCTTTTTGAAGATAAAGTTCACTGCACTAGGCATGCTATCTCTTCTCTCTATCACCTCACTCATCCTTCGACTACGAAGCTCTTCCATCAGCCATCACGCGATCGCTGAGGCGCGTCCGGCACGACTAAACTACTGCCGTCACGTCGCTGCGCAGACAGAGCGTGCTCGGTGCTTGACCTACGCACTGCATCAGATCGACTCTCCGACGCAGCGCCTCGAGCTCTATCGCAGCGTACGCGCCCTACAATACATCTCGAACTCGGACACACTGATCAGCTATCGCTCTACTCTCTCGTCTCACCCTCTCTCACTGCACACGCAATCTACCCCGCTCTCGTGCGTACTTACTCACCTACCACGGTCGTCGCTCGCAGACATCACGCTCTCGCGTCCGCGGCTCGCACTACTCAACGATCTTGCTCATGGACTCACTCTCTCGTCCCCCGCCACACTCTCTCTCTCGGGCGCTCAAATCAGCTCGACACACGCGCCCCTCTATCTCACGCTCGCCTCCCCATAGCGCTCTCGCTACGCTCGCTCCCCCACGCCCGCTCCCCTACGGCCTAACTCCAGCTGTCCCGCCACCTCGCGACCATCCGCGCCAAGCACCGCTCTCAGCTCGCTCCGATCACACGCCACTCGCTCAAATCGACCTCGCGCGCGCTCACCGCAAAGCAAGTGCCCACGCGGGATTATCTCTTCTCTCTCTCTCTAATATCTACTATCATATCTCTCCTCTCGCTTCTCATCTCTTCTCTTTACTCTCTCTCACTCCTCACCTTCTATTCTCTAATCACTCTACTCTCTCTACTCTTTTTCAATACTTCTCTCTTGCTACTCTCTCTCATTCTCATTCTCTCCCCTGTCTCCTTTTCTACTCCTACTTCCCCTCATCATCTCTACTCCTCATCACTCATCAGCTCTCTCTCTCTCTCTCTCTCACCCCTCTCTTCTTTTCTCTCTCTATCTCTACTCCTCTCTCACTCTTATCTTCTTCTCCTCTCTCCTCGCTCTCAATCTCCTTTTCCTCTCTCTCTCTCATCTCTATTCACTCTCTCTTCCTCTCTCTCTAACCTCTACTCCTCCTATCTTCTCTCTCTCTATCACACTCTCACTCTCCTCTCTCTCTCTCTCGCGCTCCTCATATCAGTTTCATTCTCTCTCATCCTCTCTAACTCTCTCCTCCCTCTTCCTCTCTCTCCTCTCACATCTCATCACTCACTCACTCTCTCTCTCTTCTCTTCTCTCCCCTCTCTCTCTTCTCGTCTCTCAATCACGCTCTCTCCTCTCTTGCCTTCTCTATCACTCGTCTCACTCATGCACTTCGCTCTCTTTCTCCTCTGCTCACGTACTTCTCTCTCGCTCACTCTCTCTCTACTCTCTCTCTCTCATCCTCAGCTCTCTCACTCACTCACTGCTCTCCTAGCCTCTCTCTCTCTCTCTCTCCCTCTCTCACTCTCTCTGCACTCTCCATCCCACTCACTCATCTATTTCGTCATTACTCACTCTCCACTCACGCTCCTGGCGCATCGACCTCTGCTCTGCGCTCCTCGGGCGCGGCACTCAATACCGCTTTCTGGCACCCCGCCCGACATCAGTCTCCACGTCACGAGTCCGTCGTCCTCATCTCCTCTCAAGCTCCTACCACGCTCAGCTCAACTACTTCCGTCATTCAGCGCTCGTCTCTCGGTCAATATCGTCCTCTCGTCGCAGCATCGCCGCTCGTCCGTACTCTCTCTCTCTCTCTCGCGTCCCATCTCGCTCTCGCCAGGAGGCAGCGCAGCCGCGCGGGCCCTCGAGAGGACGGCGCGTCTACGGGGCGACGGGCACGCGCGGCCGCTAGAGGATTAACGCACTCGACTGCCGCGGGGAGCGCGCGCCCGCCCATGCGGGAGCCGCAGACGTCCATGAGCCGCACGCGCACGCGCCGTCATGAGACCCTGCGGTCCCCACGGGAGAGGCAGGACGGGCGCGCGAGACGCGCGCCCGGCCGCGCGCGCGCGGCGCGCGCGCGCGCGGAGCACGACGGGAGCCGCGCGCGCGTCGAGCGCCGAGCGGGGCCCGCGCCGCAGGGCAAGACTCCGCGAGCCGGTCACTGGGCACGCCGCCGGATCGCTCTCTCCGCTCCTGCACAACACTGACGCTGCGCGCGCAGCACGCTCGGCGAGACGAAGACGCGAGGGGCAGCAGCGCAGAGCGCGAGCCAGTTCTCTAACCTTTCTCTGCTTCTCTCTACGCTTCGACTCTTCTCATCATCATCCACTAACCGCCGCCATCAGCGCGGGGACCCGAGCGACCGGGAGAAGCGAGAGGGGGCCAGAGAGGCACCCTGCGGCGACCACGCGAGAAGCCAGCTCGCGCGACGCGCAGGCGCACCCGCCCGAGAAGCCGCGGTCGCGGCGGCCGCGCGCTGGCGCGGAGGGAGCGCGCGCCGGCGAGCGCGAGCGAGGCCGCGGCGCGGGAGGCGGGCGCGCGCACGCGCGGCGCGGCGCGGCAGGAGGAGCGCCGCGCGCGAGCGCGCGCGCAGAGGCGGCGGCGGAGACGGCGCAGGGGCGCAGAGCCCTCGGCGAGCGGCCGCCCGCTAGCCTCATCGTAGCTCCCCCGCATATGAGTACCTCTAAGACAAGCCGTGCACGCCGACTCTGCCCCGCGGTCTGTCTCTCGTCGTCACTCGCAGACTCCTTCGTGTCTACTCTCTCCCCCTCGTCCGCCTGTTAACGGCTACAAGCAGTCTCTGTACTCAGACTGCACAAGATCGATCCTACTCGCGCACCGTCAGGCACGCACCAATCAAAAGAAAAAACAGTAACAGGAGACTTATCTCTAATTCTCACAGACTGCTCTCACGCTCTCTTCTCTCGCCTCATCTCTCTGCCTCATCCTCTGCACGCTCCTGCACGACTCACTCATCTCTATTCTCTTCTCACGCTCACCCTGCTCAGTCACTCCTCTCTCTTTCTCTACCCGCACTCCCCACTCACTCCTGGCATCCCTCCACCTCTCTCAGTCACCTCCTCTCTGTTCTCCTCAAAATATCTCTCTCACTCAACGCACCTCTGCGTCTCACCACCTCTGCACTCGCGCAAATCGCCGCAGCCGCGCGAGGCGGCGGAGAGCTGCGCGCGCCGCGCGCGCGACGCCGCGCCGCGCTGGCGCCCCGAGCGCGCGCGCGCGCGCCCGCGCGCGCGCTGAGCAGCTGCGGCGCGGAGCGAGGAGCACACGCCCGCGCTCGCAGCGCGAGCGCCACGCTCGGCAGTCAGCCTCGCGCGGGGCCGCGGACGACACCGCACGCCGCGCATTCACGCTGCGTCCGTGCGCACCACACTCAGGAGGCACTCACGGGCGCTCACGCACGCGCGCGCATGCACGTCCGGCGGCGCGCGCACACCACTCACGCACGCACGAGCGCTCGCTGCGCGCGGTCGCTCGCTGCGGGCTGTGCGTCGCTCTGCTCGCACTCGGCGTCAGGTACTCTCGGGCGTCGCGACGCACTCGTGGCACGCGCTCGCCAGGCACGCCTACTCTCAACTACTCTCACTCGCTCTCCCTCTCACACACTCAATCTCTCTCTGCTCTCTCTCATCGCACACTTTCGCCTCTTTCGTTCTTTCTACTCTCTCTCGACTCTCTCTCCTCTCTCTCTCCCTCTCTTTCACTCACTCACTCACTCACTCTCTCTCTCTCATTCACTCTCTCTCTCTCTCTTTCTCTCTCTCTCTCTCATTCTCTCTCTCCTACTCTCTCCCCCCCCCCCAAACACACACACACAGACAGACAGACAGACAGACAGACATGATCTCCTCCACAGTGTTGTTCTATGGGAACTACATGCTATGCCTGTGTCTGGGACTGCTGTGTGTGGTGTTTGTCAGTTACTGGAATGCCGAGTGGCGTGGTGGCTTCGCCTGGGATGCGTCCTTTCTGCAGTTCAACTGGCACCCTGTGCTCATGGTGACTGGCCTGGTAGTCCTGTATGGGAATGGTGAGTCACAATAATGATTATGATAATGACCATAATACATCTCATTCAATCACAGTATTTCATATTTTCATTTGATGGAAAATCTCAGAGTGCTTCATACTGTGTGGACAAAATCAAGAAATTATGGGAATTATAGCAGGGCAGATTGTGCATTAGAAAACAAACCTAAGTTTGAAAAAAATCTCCTTTGAGGGTTTTCTCTCTAAAAATGTGTTTGAATTTGTTTTCTTTCAATTACTTAGGTGTGTACTTGATTCCACTGTTTATATTGCGTCAGACAAGCTAAATCAAATGCATCTAACATATTTTAAAGAAAATAAATAGAGCTGGCCTTCTATTTTGATCCAGGTCAGGTATCATCACCACAAGGTCTATCACAAAGCCAAGATAATAAAGGCTTTTTAAACTACAACAAAAAACGAAATACTTCCAACAGGAGCGCTTTGACCAATTTGGCAATCTGGTCTCAGAGCATTTCGTATTATTCTGTACGTAATTCCAGGACACTCCATTTAGTATGGTGTGCTATGTTTCGTATAGTATGTATTAATTTGTGGATGTCCTTCACCCATTTCATTAGTATTCGTATTATATGTTACGTATTTGCAAAACTTGATATGATATGTTACGAATTCTAGCTAGGTGGCTAACGTTAGCTAGCTAGGCTAAGGGTTAGGGTTAAGGTTAGGGTTAAGTTTAGGAGTTAGGTTAAAGGGGAAGGGTTAAGGTTAAGGTTAGGGGAAGGGTTAGCTAAAAGAGTTAAAGTTATTGTTAGGGAAAGGGTTAGCTAACATGCTAAGTAGTTGCAAAGTAGCTAAAAAGTAGTAAGTAGTTGAAAAGTTGATAATTAGCTAAAATGCTACAGTTGTCCGTGATGAGATTCAAACTCACAACCTTTGGATTGATGTTCGTGTTATACGCCCACTCATCCATCCTACTTTTGTTTTTGCCTTAAGTAACCATCTGTCTTATCTAACCATACCAAACATAACATATCATACTAATTTGAGTGTCCTATGTTATGTCTAGTCTATGAGACCAGGCTGAACCTGGAGTGGTAAGTCTTGAACTTACAATGTATATAGCACACGGACAGTACTAAAAGTATAATAACAAAATAAAGTACATATCCACATCTTACTGCTCTCATCTCTGCTACTGAGATAATGTGATACTTCTTAGAAAACCTTTTGACTATGTTGCTATTTTTCCAGTTCCTGACTCATCATTAGTGTGAATAACATGCCATTTAGCAGACGCTTTTATCCAAAGCGACTTACAGTCATGTGCGCATACATTTTTACATATGGGTGGTCCCGGGGATCGAACCCACTACCCTGGCGTTACAAGCACCATGCTCTACCAATTGAGCTACAGAGGACCTTTCAAAGATGGACACTTATAAATTTGCCGTCGTTGTATCTCGGCTGATCTAAAAGCACCCAAAAGGCTTTGTAAAGCACATCTACATTTCAGACTGGAAATGCACTATTGCATGAATCAAAGTCATAAAACAGCTACACCAGGTTACTGATATTAGTGTTCTGTACACTAAAGCTGTATCCTTCCATGTGTAGTAGATCTACAAACAACACATATAGATGATCTGAAAATAGAGGGGATGCTTTTTTGCGGTTATCCCTTTTACAGTGCCTTCAGAAAATATTCATACCCCTTGACTTATTCCACATTTTGTTGTGCTACAGCCTGAATTCAAAATGGATTAAATATATTTGTTTCTCACCCATCTACACACACAATACCCCATACTGACAAAGTGAAAAAATGTTTTTAGACATTTTTGCAAATTTATTGAAAACTCAATACCTAAATATCTCATTAACATAAGTGTTCACACCCCTAAGCCAATACTTTGTAGAAGCACCTTTGGCAGTGATTACAGCTGTGAGTCATTCTGGGTACGTCTGTAATAGCTTTCCACACCTGGATTGTGCAATATTTTCCCATATTCTTTAAAAGATTATTCAAGCTCCGTCAAATTGGTTGTTGATTATTACTACACAACCATTTTCAGGTCTTGACATAGACTTTCAAGTAGATTTCAATCAAAACTGTAACTAGGCAACTCAGGAACATTCACTGTAAGCAATTCAAGTGTAGATTTGGCCTTGTGTTTTAGGTAATTGTCCTGCTGAAAGGTGAATTCATCTCCCAGTGTCTGAACCAGGTTTTCCTCTACGATTTTGCCTGTGCTTAGCTCCATTCCGTTTCATTTTTTATCCTGAAAAACTCCCCAGTCCTTAACAAGCATACCCATAACATGATGCAGTCACCACTATGCTTGAAAATATGGAGAGTGGTACTCATTAATGTTAGTATTGGATTTGTAACACTTTGTATTCAGGACAAAAAGTTAATTGCTTTGCCACATTTTTTGCAGTATTACTTTCGTGCCTTGTTGCAAACAGGATGCATGTTTTGGAATATGTTTATTCTGTACAGGCTTCCTTCTTTTCACTCTGTCAATTAGGTTAGTATTGTGGAGTAACTACAATGTTGTTGATCCCTCCTCAGTTTTCTCCCATCACAGCCATTAAACTGTAACTTTTTTAAAGACACCATTGGCCTCATATTGAAATCCCTGAGTGGTTTCCTTCCTCTCCGGCAACTGAGTAAGGAAGGACGCCTGTATCTGTGTATTGACTGGGTTTATTGATACACCATCCAAATTGTAATGAATAACTTCACCATGCTCAAAGGGATATTCAATGTCTGCTTTCTTTCTTTTTACAAATCTACCAATAGGTGCCCTTCTTTGCAAGGCATTGCAAAACCTCCCTGGTCTTTGTGGTTGAATCTATGTTTGAAATGCACTGCTCAACTGAGGGACCTTCCAGATAACATTTTTACTACAGAACTTAGTTAGGCTTGCCATGTAACTTTTAAAAAATAATTTCACCTTTATTTAACCAGGTAAGCCAGTTGAGAACAAGTTCTCATTTACAACTGCAATCTGGCCAAGATAAAGCAAAGCAGTGCGATAAAAACAACAACAACACAGAGTTACATATGGAATAAATAAAACAAAACGTACAGTTAATAACACAATAGAACATCTATATAAAATGTGTGCAAATGTAGTAAGTTATGGAGGTAAGGCAATAAATAGGCCATAGTGCAAAATAATTACAATGTAGTATTAACACTGGAGTGAGAGATGTGCAGAAGATGATATGCAAATAGAGACACTGGGGTGCAAATGAGCAAAATAAATAACAATATGGGGATGAGGTAGTTGGGTGGGTTAATTAGAGATGGGCTGTGTACAGGTGCAGTGATAAGTAAGCTGCTCTGACAACTGATACTTAAAGTTAGTGAGGGAGATAAGTGTCTTCAGCCTCAGAGATTTTTGCAGTTTGTTCCAGTCATTTGCAGCAGAGAACTGGAAGGAATGGCGGCCAAAGGAGGTGTTGGCTTTAGGGATGACCAGTGAGATATACCTGCTGGAACGCATACTACGGGTGGGTGTTGCTATGGTGACCAATGATCTAAGATAAGGCGGGGATTTGCCTAGAAGTGATTTATAGGTGACCTGGAGCCAGTGGGTTTGGCAACAAATACGTAGTGAGGGCCAGCCAACGAGAGCGTACAGGTCACAATGGTGGGTAGTATATGGGGCTTTGGTGACAAAACGGATGGCACTGTGATAGACTAGAGTGTTGGAAGCTATTTTTTAAATGACATTGCCGAAGTCAAGGATCGGTAGGATAGTCCGTTTTACGAGGGCATGTTTAGCAGCTTGAGTGAAGGAGGCTTTGTTGCGAAATAGGAAGCCGATTCTAGATTTAACTTTGGATTGGAGATGCTTAATGTGAGTTTGGAAGGAGAGTTTACGGTCTAACCAGACACCTAGGTATTTGTAGTTGTCCACATATTCTAAGTCAGACCCGCCGAGAGTAGTGATTCTAGTTGGGCGGGTGCAAGCAGCGTTCGATTGAAGAGCATGCATTTAGTTTTACTAGCATTTAAGAGCAGTTGGAGGCCACGGAAGGAGTGTTGTATGGCATTGAAGCTCGTTTGGAGGTTTGTTAACACAGTGTCCAATGAAGGGCCAGATGTATACAAAATGGTGTCGTCTGCGTAGAGGTGGATCTGAGAGTCACCAGCAGCAAGCGCGACATCATTGATATACACAGAGAATAGAGTCGGCCAGAGAATTGAACCCTGTGGCACCCCCATAGAGACTGCCAGAGGTCCAGATAACAGGCCCTCCGATTTGACACTCTATCTGAGAAGTAGTCGGTGAACCAGGCGAGGCAGTCATTTGAGAAACCAAGGCTATTTAGTCTGCCAATAAGAATGCGGTGATTGACAGAGTCAAAAGCCTTGGCCAGGTCGATGAAGACGGCTGCACAGTACTGTCTTTTATCAATCGCGGTTATTATATCGTTTAGGACCTTGAGCGTGGCTGAGATGCACCCATGATCAGCTCGGAAACCAGATTGCATAGCGGAGAAGGTACGGTGGGATTCGAAATGGTCGGTGATCTGTTTGTTAACTTGGCTTTCAAATACTTTCGAAAGGCAGGGCAGGATGGATATAGGTCTGTAACAGTTTGGATCTAGAGTGTCACCCCCTTTGAAGAGTAGGATGACCTCGGCAGCTTTCCAATCTCTGGGGATCTCAGATGATACGAAAGAGAGGTTGAACAGGCTAGTAATAGGGGTTGCGACAATTTCGAAGAAAGGGGTTGAATTTTAGAAAGGGGTTGAATACTTATTGACTCACGACATTTCAGATTTTCATTTTTAATGAATTTCCAAACATTTCTAGAAACATAATTCCACTTTTACATTATGGGTTATTGTGTGTAGACCAGTGACACAAAATCAAAATGTAATCCATTTTAAATTGAGGCTGTAACACAATTTTTTGGGGGAAAAAGTCAAGGTGTGTGAATACTTTCTGAAGGCACCATTTGTGCCATGGTACCAATGATGACCAACCTGCATTTCTTCCAATCTTCAGTCTCCCTACATCCCCATGTCACTTAGTATACATTAAACTATTAATACACTATAATCTTCCCAAGTCCCCCCACTCCCAATCAGACTTGCTGTATTTACTTTATTAGTGACCTTCAACTGACCTTGCTCTGAACATATGTGTAGTAGCTTTCCTCAATAATGTGACTGTGTACCAATACATTATTGTAAGTATCCATATAGGTCTTGGAGTGGTTATAAATACTAAGTGGTTATAAACTGTATGGAATAACATGTGGGAGGGGTCATGTTACATGTGGTAGGACAGGCTAGTGCACCCAGAAGAGACAAACACAGAGCGAAGCTAATACATCCCACCATCTGGGAAAGGCTGATCTAAAAGTCTTCCCTCTTTCTGTGTGTGTGTGTGTGTGTGTTGTCTGAAGCGGCTATCCTATACCGCGTCCCCTTTACCTGGGGTCAGAGGAAGCAGCGCTGGAAGCTGGTGCACGCTGCTCTGCTGCTGTCCTCCCTGTTCCTGTCCATCCTTGGGCTGTGTGCTGTGTTTGACTTCCACACAGGCTACCACATCCCCAACCTGTACTCCCTCCACAGCTGGGTGGGCATCTGCACCATAGTCCTGTTCACTGCCCAGGTAGGAGGGGGAGACGTTGGGCAGGGACCAGGGTATTTTCCCTGACCATGTGAACTGACCAGGGAATACTCTGGGCTCTTAGTAACTCAGCGTTTTTCATGTTCAGGTCACATGACCCTAATAAAAAGAACATTCATGTACCTGTGCTCAAGGTTCAAATTGAACATTTGGCAGCTTTTCTACCTCAAGCTCATTTGATGCAACCGATCTTGCCCAACCCTATTCCTTCCCTTCTCATTGGTCAGTGGGTCCTTGGCCTGGTTGGTTTCCTGTCTACCTGCTCTCCCCTCGGGTTCCGTGAGCTCCTGAAACCAGTTCACGCCTGGATGGGAGTGGCCATCTTTATCCTCAGCCTGGCCTCCTGTCTCTCTGGCATCAACGAGAAGCTGCTCCTTACTCTGTGAGTGACCAGAAACGCTGATCCTCCACCAATAACAACTAACTACATTGGTCCAACAATCTCCACAGTAATATTCTGTATAAAGGCCTATGCAACATTGAAAAGCTTTAGGCTACATGAAATATTCACAATTAAGGATACATTAAATAACTTTACATTTTACAGAACAAAATTAGGTTAGACAACGTATAAGAGCATAAAAGCAATTTCATTGGAGTATTTCCTTAGCCTGGGTGCCCTATTTCAGCTTCACACATTATATTGGTCCCTAGGCAAAGACAGGCAAAGAGTCAACACAGGACTAAGACTGAATCGTACTACACCGGCTCTGACGCTCGTCGGATGTGGCAGGGCTTGAAAACTATAACAGACTACAAAGGGAAGCACAGCCGCGAGCTGCCCAGTGACACAAGACTTCCAGACGAGCTAAACCACTTCTATGCTCGCTTCGAGGCAAGTAACACTGAAGCATGCATGAGAGCACTAGCTGTTACGGATGACTATGTGATCACGCTCTCCGTAGCCGATGTGAGTAAGACTTTTAAGCAGGTCAACATTCACAAGGCCGCAGGGCCAGACGGATTACCAGGACGTGTACTCCGAGCATATGCTGACCAACTGGCAAGTGTCTTCACTGACATTTTCAACATGTCCCTGACTGAGTCTGTAATACCAACATGTTTCAAGCAGACCATCATAGTCCCCGTGCCCAAGGACTCTAAGATAACCTGCCTAAATGACTACCGACCCGTAGCACTGACGTCTGTAGCCATGAAGTGCTTTGAAAGGCTGGTCATGGCTCACATCAACACCATTATCCCAGAAACCCTAGACCCACTCCAATTTGCATACCGCCCCAACAGATCCACAGATGATACAATCTCTATTGCACTCCACACTGCCCTTTCCCACCTGGACAAGAGGAACACCTACGTGAGAATGCTATTCATTGACTACAGCTCAGCATTCAACACCATAGTGCCCTCAAAGCTCATCACTAAGCTAAGGATCCTGGGACTAAACACCTCCCTCTGCAACTGGATCCTGGACTTCCTGACGGGCCGCCCCCAGGTGGTAAGGGTAGGTAACAACACATCTGCCACACTGATCCTCAACACGGGGGCCCCTCAGGGGTGCGTGCTCAGTCCCCTCCTGTACTCCCTGTTCACCCATGACTGCATGGCCAGGCACGACTCCAACACCATCATTACGTTTGCTGACGACACAACAGTGGTAGGCCTGATCACCAACAACGATGAGACAGCCTATAGGGAGGAGGTCAGAGACCTGGCCGTGTGGTGCCAGGATAACAACCTCTCCCTCAACGTGACCAAGACAAAGGAGATGATTGTGGACTACAGGAAAAAAAAGAGGACTGAGCACGCCCCCATTCTCATCGACGGGGCTGGAACAGGTTGAGAGGTCCAAACACACCAAGACAGTTGTGAAGAGGGCACGACAAAGCCTATTCCCCCTCAGGAGACTGAAAAGATTTGGCATTGGTCCTCAGATCCTCAAAAAATCTACAGCTGCACCATCGAGAGCATCCTGACTGGTTGCATCACCGCCTGGTATGGCAACTGCTTGGCCTCCGACCGCAAGGCACTACAGAGGGTAGTGCGTACGGCCCAGTACATCACTGGGGCCAAGCTTCCTGCCATCCAGGACCTCTATACCAGGCGGTGTCAGAGGAAGTCCCTCAAAATTGTCAAAGACTCCAGCCACCCTAGTCATAGACTGTTCTCTCTGCTACCGCACGGCAATCGGTAACGGAGTGCCAAGTCTAGGTCCAAAAGACTTCTCAACAGCTTCTACCCCCAAGCCATAAGACTCCTGAATAGCTAATCATGGCTACCCGGACTATTTGCACTGCCCCCCCACCCCATCTTTTTACGCTGCTGCTACTCTGTTAATTATTTATGCATAGTCACTTTAACTCTACCCACATGTACATATTACTTAAACTACCTCAACTAGCCGGTGCCCCCGCACATTGACTCTGCACCGGTACCCCCCTGTATATATAGCCTCCCTACTGTTATTTTATTTTACTTCTGCTCTTTTTTTCTCAACACTTTTTTGTTGTTTTATTCTACTTTTTTTTATAAAAAATAAATGCACTGTTGGTTAAGGGCTGTAAATAAGCATTTCACTGTAATGTCTGCACCTGTTGTATTCGGCGCATGTGGCCAATAAAATGTGATTTGATTTGATTTGATTTAGCCAAAACTCTTGACGTTGACAAAAGAGTTGGCCACAGAAACAGACTGGTTCCCAGGCTAACCTTTCCCTTTAACTACAGTGACTCCATGAAAGGAGATGTCATTAATTTGAGTGTTTATCTCTCTATTCAGCAACGGCAACAGCAACAGCACCGCAGCCTATTCCTCACATCCTGCAGAGGCCTTGTTTGCTAACTTCCTGGGTGTCCTGATCGTGGCCTTTGGATTGGTGGTCCTTGGAATCCTATCCAATCAGAGGTGGAAAAGGCCAGAGCCAGGGCAGGAAAGCTCTAGAGTGAGTATGGTGCTGTCAGCAGTAAAGTCCTAGCCTGAATGACAGCCTGTTTCTGGATTAGCCAGGTTATCGGGTGTATTCCAGATACATATTTTCTCTAAAGGTCTGTGCAGATTATCAGACCTTTACAATACCTGGACAAGTATTTATTATCTATAGGAACCACACCAACATAATGTAATGATTGATTCTATAATCTGCACAGACCTGCACAGAAAATGTGTATCTGGAATGCACCTATTGTGACAATAACAAAGGATTTGGCTAAAGCAGAAATAGACTGGCACCATACAGTGCATGTGCAGTTCATGGCAAAATTCAGTCTGCATTTTTCAAAGGACACAAACAGACCTAGCTGGCTGAGCGTGGATCTAATGGAAAAGAAAACGGTCCCTAAGGACCCTTGGCTTTTGTAATTGAGACTGAGCTAAGTGGACCCTTGGCTTTGTCTTTGAGACTGAGCTAAATGCTTTCCAATGTTGTCCCCCCTGTCCATTTAATCTTATTCATTATGTTCTAAAAGGCCAAACTGATCCTAGATCATCACTCCTACTCTGAGATGCTTTATAAATACGGGCCCTGATGCTTTTTTATTGTCTGTAGCCTACTGTGCTTGGGATTATAGTTGTCATTTTTATGCTTTTTCTCCAGTCATTGCTTCCGGGGGACAACTGAAGGAGTAGAAGACCTTGGTGTCCTATTCTTCTCCCTGCCCTTTTCTATTTTTGGATAATGGATCAATTGGAGACAAAGAACACTCTGATGTTCCCTCCTGTGTCTCAGAATACCAGCTGTGGTAGTGGTTACATGTGACATGATGACATGATGACTGACGTGTGATGTTTTTACACTGTAACTGTGTAGGCGGCCTATACTGTCTATAGCATATGGGTGACTATGTGCATTATAGCATTATGTGTGGTATAGGCCCTATACTATACTATTAATAGGCTGTACTACTGCATAGTCCATTTTTAAAAGCTAATTTGATCATGCCTGATCCTGCTCTCTCTGTTAAAACTGTATCATAATAATGTACTAGATACACTATTACTCTCTTTGCAATGAAAATTGGTTGGGTTTTGTGAAAAGTTGAATAAAGTTGGCATGTCCTCCTGAAACCCAGCAACTCATTTTTGTCCACTCTAATGGACATAGTTTTTTTATCCGTATCTTTGAGGCCATTATGCATGCTACTGTGTTAAGTCCTGTTGTACCTTGAGAGGACATTCAAGAAGGGTGCAATTGCGGCCTGCAATTCGAGGTGTTCCTGCATGTGGGCATTCCTGCATCTGCAGGAACCCCTCTTTATACTTCTATTGGTACATTTTTAAGCTAGGACTCCGGTACACAGGCGGGAGGCGGGCGCTCCAGTACTGTAAGTGGCGGTAACGGACCATAACGTTGGATGCCAACTGGCAATAAACCCCACAGAAGAAGAAGAAGAGGCGGGGCGACAACAGTAGCTAACTAGCTAGGACAACGGTAGACAGTGTCCTTCACCCCTCGCCTGTAGGGCACTGCTTTTCCGCAGTTCTGTTAACGACGGCGAGGGCAGGTGTTAGGCAGGCGTTAGCCCAATAATGGACTAAAGGAGCCTACCATTATTCCTTATAGTCCAAGGACCTTAAATGTTCTGTTTAAAGGCGAATTGGCTCTGGAAGCCAAAACAGCCAAATACTCCATCTAAATGTGAATCGATTCTCAATTGCGGTATGGTTCTAGAAACATAAATCCCTCTACTTCCATATCACATAAAAATTATTTTACACTTATTTCACAAAATACACACTTACTGTACACTGTTTTAACCAGTTTTAACACAATTGCAGCCGACAGTATTTTTCAGCGACAACACGTTTGTGGTGTCCATCTTCCGTTTACACACAGGTGTTCGGAGACGGCGATAGCTAATTAGCACAGGTAGTCCACTCTGTCTTCCGTCAGTTTTCCGTAAACAAGCGCTGTAACATGGAAATATGGCCGTGTGTGAACCCTAACCCTATAAAGGTGTGTATCAATTTAACCTTTAGTTTTCTTAAATTATTTATTCTGATATACGTTCCTTATGTTTCCATATACGTACCGCAAGCGATGCGTGTTAATGTTCAGACCGAGCATCGGGGCTCTTAGTACTGCAGTGGGCTAAATCAGGGTCACACAAATCTACTTTGAAACAAAAGTAAACACCATGTTAGACATAGAGTTTAAATGTATTCAATTTTGAGTTTGCATCCCAATATTACACTTTATATACATCACAGAAGACTGAAATATAACAAAACTGTTTGACATAGAAACACCGGATTTTCAGCAAAAAAAAGGTTCTTAATTATAAAATTATGAAAAATATTAATAACATTGCACCCATGTGGCCACTAGGTCATTTGACTGCAGGAAAGGGTTACCAAAACTCCCCCGTACATTAGACGCCTTTTTCCAATGACTCGTATGTATAATGTGCATGTGTGTGTGTGCGCATTCGTGCAAGTAGAAAAACATGTTGACACCCTACTTGTAGAGAAACGCCAATGCCATCCTCCTCTCTTTCATGTTGACGAAACAGTCTATCACTCTGTCATACACTCTGTACATGCTTTAATTTTTTGTTGTCCTACGCTACCTGGCTAAAATGCTTGCTCGCTAGCCTAACTTTCATTCATGGGCAATGTTAGCTAGTTAACATTAGCCTTCTACATCTAGCTACATATTGAACTTCCATCCTCTCAGACCAGGGGCACAACATTGTATGAATTAATGGTTGGATCAGAATCGCCGTTATAATCATTGGCCAGTAGGGAGAATTAAGTAAAACCACAAGTCTAAATCCCTATCTCCATCCATGGCTAATTTAGGAAAAGGACCATTTTAGCTAGCTAGCCACCGGAGGACAACAACACAACGAGATGCAACAATTTAAGTTTTTCTGTCAATGAGGTATGCTCTCAATGGGATTTGATAAGAGTGACGCCAAAATCCAAGCTGACTTCCCTTTACACTTTTTTTTTTGGTGCGCCACGACCATTCACAGTTGAGCTCGCTCAGTTTGGCTCAACGCTGATTGGCACATTTTTATACTTTTTTTATCAAGGGAGGCCAACCGCTCGCTGGCTTCCCTTGCCTTCAATGCTACAGGCGGCAACAATGTCATACTTGTTTGGACCAGACAGCATCAGATAGATGGCCTACACATAGAGAGACAGAGGGGCGCTGATTCGCTCACTCGGATGCTTTCTCCTGTGAGATACATTCAGCCTCTAGGCGAATTGAAGGAAAATTATGAAACACAGAGAGACTAAAGATAAATTATTTCATTTTTATTTTTTTATTTTTTTGTCAATTTTTTGGTGAAGCCTGGCTTCCTTTGGAGCCACTGATTAAATAAGAGCTAAATAAGAGCTTGTTCATAAATGTCTTCTGTAGTGGACATCATGATGTGCCATCTGTTTTTTACCTACTGTAGCCATTTACTGTAATGTTACATTTGTCATATTTACTATCAACCGATTCCTTATGTCCACTACAGTGCACATACAATCAAAAATCTATATTTTTTTCACATGAAAGCCATTGTTTTCATCAATCTCAGTGGTCTTTATTAATGCAGAGAGGGAGCCCCTAGTGGTCACAATCGGTCACAAGTCTGAGTTTAAATAAACGAGTGGTGCGTGTTATTTACGTATCTTGTAACACTTGGCTATGCTAAATTAAGGGTTAAATCCATAGCGAATTGGACAAACAAAGGGTTGTTAAAAATTTGGAAAAAGGTTGTGGAGATGCCGGGGATTGAACCCGGGGCCTCATACATGCAAAGCATGCGCTCTACCACTGAGCTACATCCCCTTCTATGATCTCTCAGAGACAATAAGGTTTTGTGTTCAGTCAGAGACAATACGGTTTTGTAAACGAAGTATTGAAACTGTAATTAAATATGTAATTTAAATTAAATTTTTGCAGTTGCCATTTCCCAAAAAAGTCTAATCCGTTATCGCAGAGAACATAGTTAAATTGCTTACGGAGGTTACGGGGGAGATTGTCCTTCACCTTATCCACAAGATGGCAGTATCTTCATACTACATACTGTATAAATCATGACATCGACCTCAAAGTTTGATTTAACCAGAGATTTGATATCGCCAAAGAAAGGCTGTCTTTGGCTATGATCTTTGGCCATCAAAAATGGTGGTAAATCAACATTAATCAACACATTGAGTCTCCTTAATGTACATGCTGTTGACATGAATTTTACTTGTGGTTTCAACTTAAATGTGTTAAAATGTTTTAAAAAATGGTGTACGTATTGTAATATCTATTTATTTCAGTATCTTTGACTGCCATATTTCCAGTTGCGACCCGTCATTCAATTAAAATAAAATAAAATAAAATTGTATTGGTCAAATACATGTGTTTAGCAGATGTTATTGCGGGGGTAGCGAAATGCTTGTGTTTCTAGCCCCGACCGTGCAGTATATCTAACAAGTAATATCTAACAATTTCACAATACCCAATACACACAAATCTAAGTAAAGCAATGGAATTAACAATATATAAATAAATATATGGACGAGCAATGTCAGAGCAACATATACTAAGATACAGTAGAATAACATAGAATACAGTATATATATATGAGATGAGTAATGCAAGATATGTAAACATTATTAAAGTGACTAGTGGTCCACTTATTAAAGTGGCCAGTGATTTCTAATCTATGTACAGTGGCTTGCGAAAGTATTCAACCCCCTTGGCATTTTTCCTATTTTGTTGCCTTACAACCTGGAAGTAAAATTGTTTTTTTAGGGGTTTGAATCATTTGATTTACACAACACGCCTACTACTTTGAAGATCAAAAATATTTTTTGGGGTGAAACAAACAAGAAATAAGACAAAAAAACAGAACTTGAGCGTAAGTAACTATACAATCCCCCAAAGTCAATACTTTGTATAGCCACCTTTTGCAGAAATTTCAGCTGCAAGTCTCTTGGGGTATGTCTCTATAAGCTTGACACATCTTGCCACTGGGATTTTTGCCAATTCTTCAAGGCAAAACTGCTCCAGCTCCTTCAAGTTGGATGGGTTCCGCTGATGTACAGCAATCGTTAAGTCATACCACAGATTCTCAATTGGATTGAGGTCTGGGCTTTGAATAGGCCATTCCAAGACATTTAAATGTTTCCCCTTCAACCACTTGAGTGTTGCTTTAGCAGTATGCTTAGGGTCATTGTCTTGCTGGAAGGTGAACCTCTGTCCCAGTCTCAAATCTCTGGAAGACTGAAACAGGTTTCCCTCAAGAATTTCCCTGTATTTAGCGCCATCCATCATTCCTTCAATTCTGACCATTTTCCCAGTCTCTGCCGATGAAAAACATCCCCACAGCATGATGCTGCCACCACCATGCTTCACTGTGGGGATGGTGTTCTCGGAGTGATGAGAGGTGTTGGGTTTGCGCCAGACATAGCGTTTTCCTTGATAGCCAAAAAGCTCAATTTTAGTCTCATCTGACCAGAGTACCTTCTTCCATATGTTTGGGGAGTCTCCCACATGGCTTTTGGCGAACACCAAACGTGTTTGCATATTCTTTTCTTTAAGCAATGGCTTTTTTCTGGCCACTCTTCCGTAAAGCCCAGCTCAGACAGACACTCCAATCTCCGCTGTGGAACTTTGCAGCTCCTTCAGGGTTATCTTTGGTCTCTTTGTTGCCTCTCTGATGAATGCCCTCCTTGCCTGGTCCGTGAGTTTTGGTGGGCGGCCCTCTCTTGGCAGGTTTGTTGTGGAGCCATATTCTTTCAATTTATTAATAATGGATTTAATGGTGCTCCGTGGAATGTTCAAAGTTTCTGATATTTTTTTATAACCCAACCCTGATCTGTACTTCTCCACAACTTTGTCCCTGACCTGTTTGGAGAGCTCCTTGGTCTTCATGGTGCCGCTTGCTTGGTGGTGCCCCATGCTTAGTGGTGTTCAAAACAGGTGTATATATACTGAGATCACGTGACAGATCATGTGACACTTAGATTGCACACAGGTGGACTTTATTTAACTAATTATGTGACTTCTGAAGGTAATTGGTTGCACGAGATCTTATTTAGGGGCTTCATGGCAAAGGGGGTGAATA